TTTTAGTAACTACTGAAGATTATTCACTCAAAATTGATATTTACAATAATTTTTAGACGAAAAATAAGAATATTATAAATTTTTGGAAAATGGGCGTAGCCACGCCCACTTATGGTTACATGTGTATACCGCTACACCAATTTCTTCCAAACTTGGCACAGTTGTTGGCCTTGATACAGCATACTAAATGGCCGAAAATTAAAAAAATCGGAAAATAACCACGCCCACATCCCATATAACGGTAATTTTCGGAAATACGAAAATTGCGATATTTTAGTAACTACTGAAGATTATTCACTCAAAATGTATATTTACAACAACCTTTAGAGGAAAACTAAGAATGTTATAAATTTTTGGAAAATGGGCGTAGCCACGCCCACTTATGGTTACATGTGTATATCTTGGCAACCGCTGCACCGATTTCTTCCAAACTTGGCACAGTTATTGACCTTGGTACAGGATACCAAAAGGCCGAAAAGTTTTAAAATCGGACAATAACCACGCCCACATCTCATATAACGGTAATTTGGAGAAATACGAAATCTTCGATAAATCAGTAAATATTAAAGCCAATTTATTCAAAATTGATGCTTGCAACAATTCCTTACCAGGAAATACGTCTATAATAAAATTTTGAAAAATGGGCGTGGCACCGCCCACTTATGATCACATATATGTATCTCGGTAACCGTTCTACCAATTTGTACCAAACTCGGTATTTTTATTGTGCTTGTTACATAAAAGCAAAACGATGAAAATTATTGAAATCGGACTAAAATTATGGCTTTTCATATAACGGTAAATTTTAGAAATGCTTTAAACGTCAATATTTTGAAATTTAAGGATGCTAATTTACTCAAAATTGATACACCCCGGCTTACCGTGTAGCGGTAGCTTTCGGAAAGGTGAAAATCATATATTTAATATTTGCGCCGGGTATTTAATGTTCGGCTCCGCCCGAACTTAGACTTTCTTACTTGTTTTAGAAGCGTTTTCGTGGCAGAAGTACACACGGAGGTTTGACATTGCCTGCTGAGCAACGACCGTTTCATCCTCTTTTACGTACACTGAAACACTTACGTAGTTTGACAGTGCTTGAAGTCTGCAAATGAACAGACTTTTATATGGATTCAAATTTCCGCGACTATTTTTCAAACTCGTATTTTTGCCTATCAGAAAGCAGTATTCAATGCACTCAAACAGTTTTATTTCGAAAATTTACGAAATTCCTACATGAATTAAATAGTAATGTATAATTTTTCTTTCATTTCAGTGCCAACAGCCATTGGAAAAATCATCCGTTCAATGCCACTCGTGCATAAAGATTAATCGAAGATTTTCGCTAGCGGAAGATATTTGAATAAAAAAATAAATAATAAGGAGAAATTTTCTTTCAGCATTCAAGTAAATTCAAATAGCGAATAAATTTTATTCATTCAAAAATTTATTCGTCATTCGAGCATAGAAAACTAATGAACAAGATTTGAAGTCGGTTAAGGCGTGTCACACAGGGGTCAAAATTCAGATTAAAAAAAAAAAAATATTTTTGAGTTTTTGAGTCTATATAGAGGAAGCCAGACGTTTTACTCACCTTTAATAGATTTACCGCATAATCGTCCTCAACATAGTTAAACCTGAAAAGAAATTAAAAAAAAAAACGTATGAAGTTAATTCGTATCATTAATAAAGCAAAGTAAATAAAAGTCTTTGGACATACAAAAATGTATACATAAAAGTACCGCAGCATTTTTCAATCTATTAACTAGAATTACTAAATACTTAAAAGAAAGAGTTTTAAAAATCGTCAGCTGCATGTATTTACTTAAATTTCTCATACATACATGAGCACGTACGTATATATGTTCATATGTAAATACGTAAAGTGTTTACCAGAAATTGCCTCCACGCTGCTGATAAGACACCGCGGCAAACTAGGTAATGGGAATATTTAGAATGAACCGTCAAACATATCAAAAATGTATTATCTATCAACGCCACCATCCCCATAAATGCCGCCGAAAGCGCCGCCGAGGGCTACCAACGGTGCCAGGCACTTGCCAGGCACCTGCCAGGCCAGCAAACAACTCCCCCATTTCCGCCACGCTTTGATTTGGATATTCGATTTGAAAAAAAAAACAAAAAAAATGCAGGCATTTCAATACGCTCGCCAAGCGCCTAAGGCGCTTTTGGGCAAATACGTTCAAAGGATTTCCTTCGGCTAGCAATGCAGCTGCATGTCAGCAATCGTAGCGAAATTCGCATTCGAATGCGCGATGAAGTGATACGCGATTTAGGTTTGCGTGAAAATACAAAACCATTCGATGGATATGTAAAATAAGGTAGACAAAAGTACGCTCAGCATGCAATTGCTGGCATTTTTTTATTACATTTACTACTCCGAGAATTGATATGGAAAATCGTTTTAAAAAATGTTTCATAATGCGCGAAAATATTCTAACGGCTGCAAATATCGATAAAATATTAAATATTGGAAATAGTGCAGGCAGTAGTGTGCAGACATACATACATACATACACATACCTAGGACTATACATACAAACGTAATCCCTATAACCGGCAGTTGAAAAATATGGATATCTAGGCTAATTATTGTGGCTGAGCTTGTTTTTTTTATTTAAATTGAGTATGAAATATTTGCGAGAACTCTGTCTATGTTTCCCTTTTGGGGAAACGAGTACATAGGTTACTGATGATTTTAATGTCTGCCAACTAAGCGAAATAAAATGAATGGAAAAGTTGAATGAGTTGCTGAAGGGACGATAGAATTGAAGATAATGGGAGGAAGCACGCCTGCAGGCAGAAAATGAATGGCCTGATGCTGATATAGAGATGTGCTCCTCACCTGTAACGAGATCCTAATTGCAAGCCACTTGCTCCATTGCGAAGGTCAAGCGGAATGAATATGTGTACATATATAACTTATACAATCGTCATTTAAAGTACCGTCATTCTGCAAAACCGCGTAACTGACATTTGCTGCCAAATATTGGATTTGCTCACACACAAGCTCTTGGCTCAATCCGAATCCCATTCGTCCTGAAACTATGCTAGCCAGAAATGCGAGTACCTTACAAAAATAAAGAGAGCAATTTTGAAATATGAGTGTTTTTACACCGTTTTGCATTTTGTTGATACGCGGTTTTGTACTTTAAACGACGATATGCATTTGGAGTCCAAGAGATTCAGATACCCGGGAACCAATCCTTGTAGCTCTAAATAAAAATACGAATCAGAAGATCTTTCAACGTTTGGTCTCTTGTTGCACTTCTTTCAAATTGTGTTAACGACACTCTGATCCATTCGTCTCTCAGTCTCGAATTCCGACAAGCTCTACATATTTACCCTACACTTTTCAGTTACTGAAGAAATATGCAGATAATTGCGTACCAGATTCGTTAGAACGTGGGCGCATTATAACTCGCTTCTTAGCTCCCTTCCACTGTCCCTTTTAAGGGGAATCACAAGGCAACGTGGCTCACGCCAGAACGTTTTTTTTTTCTGTATGCCAACCCTGCGTTCCATCACTTATATGTATGTCATTTTTCTGTTTCATTAAACAATCTTATTGGATTTATAATGATGAAAGTAAAGTTCGAATTAGGGATGTCAGTGATAAAAAATACATCGACGTATTTCTTTGATTCGGTGCTTTAGGATTTTTCGATGTTAGTTCACAACATAATTGGAATGTTATAAGCAAAATAGCAAAAAATTTTAAATTACTTACTATAACTGAGCTAACTAGGTTTTTTACGGACTTTTGAAATGGGTCGAAAACTTTTTCCAAAACCATGGAATTAATAGAAATTTAAATTTTTAAGTTATCAAAAATTCTTCCTTAATTTTCAATATTTTTAGAAACCCTATCTGTTATCCATTTGTTTCGATATTATGTTTTCTCGATACATGCATATAACTTAAAAAGTAATTTAATTTTAAATGCAGAAAATTTGGGTATGATCATTAAAAGAGGTTTAGAAAATCTAAACTACTGAAGGAAATCGCTTCATTTGAGAAACTTAATCAGATGGATTACAAACCTTCAGTCAAGAGTTTTTCAAAAAAAAAAATATGGGGTCGATACATCGAGAGGAAAACTTTCGACGCATCGAAGCAAAACATCAATATTTTCGATGCATTGATGTTTTTCCAACATCCCTAGCCAGAATGGCACCACCAGGTATTGCGTCAACACCAAAACCTAACCTAATATGGCACCAACATGTGTACAAAAATACTCGATATCTAAAAGTATCGATATCAAACAACTCGATCCTCAAGAGAAGTCGATACTTTCCAAAACTAGTAAAAACCAAATTTTCGGTTTTCGGTTTAAAAAGGAAGAAAACGATTAACACCTGAATTAAAAAAAGATTGAATGGGATGATTAACNATATCTATCTCGATTCGTTTTGCCTGTTACAAACAACCGTTATGTGAACAAAGTTATAATACCCTTGTGCACAAGTGCGCTCGGGTATAAAAACACCGATCTTGTTTGAACAGCCCTAGTTTGCGCCTTTTTAAATTTCAATCAGAGTCGCATTAGTTTTGGAAGCAAAATTATTTACTTTCGATTATGTAGAATTTACATATCTACATACATAAAAGTGACAGCGCATAGGAATACATAGTACGTACGAAAGTGAACGCCAATGCAACTGCAAATGCTACAAAAGAAAAGTTTCGCATGCAAATCGTGTCAACTTCCTGCTATTTCACAATCCCACAGGTCCCTTGTCACCTCACCCTCCTTTACGCCTTCCTTAAGTACATTTGTAAATTAGTAGGTATGTATGTATGTAATATTCAGCGACTTGCAGCACCACTTGGCAGTCAGGCGACATTCCGCCAAATTCGTGGTTCTTTTACACAAGCCCGCATAAACGCACATACACATACAAATCACGACAATTACTTCGGACTGTCCATTCCGTCGCATTTGGCGCCAAATGACTTCACAACGCAGGCACGTCCGTCCCTTCACATGCCCCATGCCCCCGGCCCGTTGAGCGTCGTGACAAGTGACTATTACATAGTACATACATACACACATACATACATACATACATATGTAAGTAACTTAGGTACTGCCGGCGGCGAATGACCACGCCTTCAGTTATCCACCGGCCCCCCCTTGAGCCGCTGGCACTTGACGCATTTGAAACGGATGTCCTTGAATTGTTGTTACTGGCGTCGACAACACGAAGTGGTTGTGGCAGTGGCAGTGGCACGACTCAACTCTCTACCTTCGACTGTCACTGGAAGCGGCGCGAGAACAATCGCTACCGCATTAACGAGCAGACGACAGGTGGATTTATGCTGGCGATCGATGCGGCGATTGTGGCTACCAAGCGTGATCACAATTTGGAGGAGAAAAAACATTTACAAGCGAGCATAAGCGCTTTATTATTTTATCTATTAAATTGCATGGTTGCGGGAAAGGCCAATTGGTCGATTCGTGAGTGTTTTGAGGTGACCAACTATGAAGAAATAAGAAATAGGTAAATGAAAATGAAAAGTAAAAGGAGCAGGAAAATAAAAAGCAATAATAAAGAGAAAGGGAAGGAGAAGAAGAACCACATGAATACGAATAAGACAAGTAATTTTTAAGCAAAAACAAACCCGATTTCAATTCTCACCATCCAATGATCCGTTCTAAACCAAATAAGAATGGGACCACCTCTGAGTACGACCTTTCCTTAGTCCAAAGTTATTATTAGAAAAATCGGGAATTGATAAAATGCGTCGGTATTATACGCATTCTTCACCTCGAAAAAAAACAAATCGAAAATTTTTGTAGTTTGCAATTATTTTTCGAAACCTAAAGAAAGTAAATCTATTACAGCGCTGCGCTTGACGTCGAAAGGAAAAAAGGCAAATTAACAAGTAATTTTTAGCAAAAAAAAACCGACTTCAACTCCCATATAAAAAAAAATATATATATATATATATATCTCATGATCCACTGATCGGATCTCAACCAGATTAGTATGGGACCACCTCTGAGACACTAACTTTCCGATGCAAAAAGAATTATCGATATCAATAATCAATAATCGGTTGACGTGGTCCAACATAATCAACATCCGGCGCCTCAAGGTCTGTGTCACAAAGGTATTACAACTAGGTATGTGCGATTAATTAATAAATCAAACAATCTGACTAATCGAAGCCTTAATAATTAATTAATCAAAACAAAAATGAACAAAATTACGCAATTTCAATAAAAATTTATTTTTTAGTTATCCTGAGTAATCAGAATCTGGTTAATACAGATTATTGATTAATCAGGATTGGTGAGTTCAGCGAAGTATTGAGAAAAATATGTGAGCGTCAAATAGTTTTTATTTTATACCCAAAAAGGCAACCCAATAGCGCCACCCAACAACAAATGAGGTAACGTCTAAGTCTACCTTACTTTTTAATGCGACTGGTCACTTTAGCAATGGAATTGGCACCAGGGTTGCCACTTTGGTAAATTGTTACCAAAATTGGTAGAAAAAATTTGGGTTGGTAAAAAGGTAAATTTTTTCTCATTTTGGTAGATTTTTGATGAACATTCCGTTCCCGATTTATTTTTCGTAGTTATCTTTAAATATATTATAAATTT